AGTTAACTGTGTATTTAACTACACATTTACATCCTTAATAGGGATGTGAAAGGTTAACTAGTAAACATCACTATTATTGGATTTTGCTTACCAGTTCCAGTTAACCATTAACTGGTGTGGACTGGACCAGATCCCCACCTGATACAGGGTGGAGGGCTGCACCAGCTCTGGAGGCAGGGGCCTGCCTCAGGGAGGACTGGGCTAGAGCAGCCCCTGCCTGGGGTGGAGGGTGCTCCAGCCCAGCCTCAGGTCCGCTCCAGCCCAGTGGGTCTGGAGCGGCCCACCACCCCGTTTAATTGGTCAACCGGGTTAAACATCATGTTTAACTGGTTAACTAATTAAACAGGATTTTACATCCCTATTCTGATACCATGTGTATGTTACAAGAATCTCCATAATAGAGACTCATGGGTCATTTTATGTCTGTATACATTGACAGGTAAGCAGCTGTATTTCATCAGTTTCTGATGTGTGAAGGAGGGTAGGAAACTGGAAAGGAGTGGGGAATAGTTGGGGGGGGGGGTTGTGGTTCTTTCATCCTCTGTTGAAAAAAGCAGATGACTCTGGGTCCCAGGAGGTGAGGCTATTAGATTGTCAGTGTGTTGTGAAAAGTAGCAGCATCTGCCAGAGTGGAGACTTGTTCAGCAGCAGGAGTATGAGCAGTAGATGATCTCTGCCTCAAGCAGTCAATGGAATTGCAGTCCAATGGGGAATTGCTGTTGCAGGGGTTATTGCAGGCAACCTTTGTAATAATCCAGTTAGTCAGGCAGACTATAGAAGGGAGATAAAGGGCCAATTCCTGCACTTTGGTCTTCTCACTTTTTTGAAATGTCTTACTCTTCTGTCCATCACCAACACACACACAGTGAGAAAAAAATTCCTGACCCATTCTGATCTAGGGATGTGGGTTAACTGCTAAGCATTACTCTTTAAAAAAATGTAAATGAACCAAAAAAGGGCACATTCAGCATATGGGAAAGTGAAGCTCGCAGATTTTGAAGCCGCATCCTGAGAAGATCAGAATAGACTGGGCAGCAACTATATGTGGGGGATTGGTACAAAATAGAACAAATGTTTTGAAAAAGGCAAGATATTGTTTTATAGGTGTTTTGACAGTTTTTTGTCTGCAATTAAATTGCACAATACACTCTTCAAAATATTCTATTTAGTTTGAAGATATCTTTCCACAACTTCAACTCATGCTCTGCTGCTCCATTTCTTCTGCTCTTTTTGATTGTGCTATGTATAAGAAAAAGCATTGTGGAGAATACATGTGGGAGCACCCTCTTTTATTGGTGCAGTGCTGTGGCACTTCAAAGGAGCGGGACGTGCTTCAAAGGAATAACACTGAGCATTCAGAGCTCCATTTAAGAAGAATGGCTGATTTGGGCTATGCCATGTTAAAATTATTAACCTTGGTTGGCCATGTCTAAGGCCTTGTCTACACTGGCATGTTTTGTTGCCCAAACCTGCCTTTTGATGACTAAACAGTGAACACGTTTATATTACAATGTAAGTGTTGTCAGGAAAAACACCCAATTTTGGCAGCAAAAGTCTTCCACCCCTGCAAGAGACTTCTGTCTTTTCCCCTCCCTTTGTTGCTGATAAAGAGCCAGTGTGGACTTTGTTTTGTGGAGAGAACTGGCTTCTGCCAGTATCCCACAATGCCTGCCCTGATGGCTCTATTCAGTGTTTTGTGATCCTCTGTTGCCTTGCATGCATGTGCTGCTCCTCTTTCAAAGAGGAGGGGAAGGAGGCAGAAATATCTGACAACTGAGTGAGATGCTTCATTTGGGGAACCAAAAAAAAAAAGATGGAATGCTCTTGTTCTGCTGCTGTTGTAAGGGGAGAGCTGGAGAGACTGTTATGCTGCTTTGGTATTACTTAGGAAGAGCTTGCAGAAATAAGAGGGAATCCTAAGAAACACAGGGATCAGTTCTGCCTTCCCACAACACTGCAATGTGGAATGTCTATCCATATTGCCCTGTTGGCAGAGCAAAGAAAAGCAGCTAGTGATGTGGCCATGAAATGTTGACAGCGGGAGGCAGAAAAACTGGTTTGACCATTTTTCACTTTTGGCGACTTTTGCATGTTAACAGCATTTTTGTTGCCAAACCTTCCCAATATGGACATAGTCTAAATGTGAGAAGGGAGGGGATGGGGCAGCAGATGGGTAGAGAGCCTTGTGATTCAGGACTCTTGAAGAAGCATTTTGAGCGTAATTGCCATGGATGAAACTAGGACTGGTGTCAAGAGTTTTTCGTGGGGGGAATTCTGCACCAAAAAAATTAAATATATTTTTAAAGTCTGCATATTTTATTTGTCAAACTAGCACAATATAATCATGCCAGTTACAGTTATTTTGGTAATTTATTGCAAAATACCTGTCAGCAACTATGAAGCTAGACAATAAAAAAGATTCAGGACATGATTTTTGACAAATAGATTCCTTACTAGCTATATTAATACAGAACTTTAAGTAATAATTCATTTAAATTACAATCCAGAAATGTATTTCCTGCACCCCTCAGAAGCAGTGCAAAGGCTTGGGGGAGGCAGATAATGGAGGAACTGAGGAATAGGCAAGGAATTGCTGGGAAGAATCCTGAGTGTGAACTTGGAGGATTGTTGATTGTGGGTGGAAGAAGTATGGAATAGTTGTGTTTTGTGTTGCAGTTTGTAGCAAGCTTCCCCCATGGCTGATGCCTAGCTTTTCTCATTCAAGCTGCCTTTGTCCCCAGTGTCCTTACACTCCCCCTCAGCACTCTCTCCCTCCGTTTCCATTTGGTCCTGCATTCCCTATGCTCGTTCAGATCCTGTCCTAGTCTGTCCTTCCCCACAGACCCTTCTGAGCCCGTCTGTGATCACCAGCAGTCCCAAGTGCTCTGTGCTGTCTGGACTCCCTTCCTCCCCCTACTTATTGAGGCTGGTTAAAGTCCCAAGGATTACAAAACTTACCTGGAGGTCCAAGCAGTTTGGGTGTAAAATTAAAGTCCTGGAAGCTTTACCTTTGAAAACTAGGGGTAATATTCTGGAAAGTAAAAATAAGTTGGTTCTCTTATTCTGGACTTCAGGATCACTTTCTTATGTCATGAATATTGTACTACTTTTCATGACTGAAGATTGCTGCTTAAAAAACACTAAAGACTTGATTTAGTAAAGGATACTGCAATCACTGTTAAAGTGCATTGGCATAGCTGTGAGAAGACAGGATTTGTATAAGTTAGGAGAACTGGTGTGTCAGACTTTCCTGTTGATTACATCTGCTTTGATTCAAAGAGATACCTGGCATATGGGTGGAGTTAATTTTGCTTTCATATGCTGTCATTTACATGTCATGACATCCTTCACTGTAGGTGTGGTATGGTGGGGAGAGTAGTGAAAGTCTGTCAGTTTTTTTCCCCTGATTTAAAAAAAATATATCACAAACCCCTACTTACTATGGAGCAGTGTGTCTTAAACTATGTTGCACGGAACACTGGTGTTCGATGAACAACTTGCAGGTGTGCTGTGACCTCTTCTTTGTTTTTGTTACTTCTTTGTTTTTATCTTGTTTTGTCTTGACAATTTTTTTTAAAGAAAATTTTCATAGGTGTTCCGCATACAAAATATTATTGTTTGGTGTTCCGTAGTCTCAAAAAGTTTAGGAAACACCGCTATAGAGACAGGAACTTCTCTAGGATCATCTGAGACTGGCTTGCTAGTAAAAGACTCGTTTTAGATCTATATCTGTCATCATCAGCAATCCCTTGAGGTTGAGAATGATCTGTTTCACATGTTTTACTTTTCAGGGGTCTTTTTGATGATTGAGGAGTCCAATCCTTGAGCCACAGGTTCGTTGGCAGATGGCACGCAGCATTAGAAGAAAGGGTTGGGCCACAATTGCTGTGTGACAGTTATCTTTCCTTTCTTTTCTGGCATTTTTCTACAACCGGAGCTGGGCATCTATGTGTAGTCTGTGTTCAAAAGACAATTGTTGTGGTCCAAATTTCAATTCAAGCACCAGTTGGTTCAAGCACATTTTTAGTGTTACTGATCCTTATATAAAGAAGGAACAATTCCACCTGTCAGAAACAAACTTTCTTCAAAAGCTTACATGAGTTTATACTTTTGGAAAAACACTTATTTAAGTTACTCTCTGAATGAAATACATACGAGGCTTAATTCTCTAAAGCCATTCAGGTTACAGTTAAGTCAATGAGGAACTCTGACTCTATTGCAGTGGTCCCTGACCTTTTGGGGCTGCTGGGCACCCAGGGGTGGGTTCGCCCATGCGCCTGGGGCCGGCACCGCGCATGAAAATTAAAAGTGGTCATCAGTTAAGTTCTCCTGCTATGAAAATAAATATATCCCCATATTTTTATCTCTGAAGACCTTTATTTTGGAGATACAGCATCCCTGTGGCATTGGTTTCCTCCCTCCAGTGGCATTTCCATTAGTACCAGGTAAACCTCATCTTTATATTGTCTGACAAAATGCTCAGGTTGGCCCCAGTCTTCTTGGAGAGGCATGTCAGTGGTAATAAAGATTCGGGCCAATGAATCAGATAATGATTTTATGCTAACTGTGACCCCGATCTCCATTTTGCCAATTCTCATTTTCAAGTTGCCACAGACATGTTTAAGTCCTCATACTAGAATTCCAGTGCTGAGGTCGTCATTGTATTCTGAAACACCTGCCAAAAGACTGGACAGTGGTAGCATAGGGGGTGCAAGGAATGTAGAAAGTTCTATTGATCTGTTAGCTGTTAGAGTTGTCTGTCTGACAGCGAGTGCATACCACTACAGTGCAAAAGGGTATGGAACCCGTTATTTGATGTTTGAAGGGGATGTAGTGTAAAGAGTGACCTTTGGGACCTGATGCTTCTTGATACATTTTGAGAAAGTAATGCTTGAAACTACTGAAATTTGTGTGGTGGAAATACCAAGAAAACGTATATGGAGGAAGGAGATAAAGAGCTCACCTATTTGCTAATATTTCTACCTTCCTATCCCTTTCAGAAATGTTCTCACTGCCAGGAGCCAGGAGCCACCTTAGGCTGCTACAACAAAGGTTGCTCCTTCCGATACCATTACCCGTGTGCCATCGATGCAGGTAAGAAAAAATAAGACTAATAATATCTTACACTTACAGGACACATGCTGCCCCTGAAGTATTCTAGAATTCTTTACAAAATAGTAACGTATGGGATGGTGCACAATAAAACACTGCATAGCAGCATTTGAGAACAAGTTGGGTTGAGAAATGAAAGAGAATATTTTTAATACTGAAGAAAGAATTGTAAAATTGTAGAATGCAACTAAAAAATATTGACTTTGCCATAACATGGGAGATTAATCCCCTTTCTCTGTGAAAAATGACTTTAAGGGCTCCAAATAATCAGAACCTCTGATTTTTCATGTCATCAGAAAGATAGCTCCTCCTGCGGTGATACGCTCTTTAGCAATACGATTGGGCATTAGCCCAATACAGATTCCAAATGGAAAACGTCACCTGCCGAGTTATAAACACCACTTCCAGCAGCTTCTAATTTGTGCCCATGCAGGTCTCTAATCCAAGCACTGACTCTGGTCAGCTATAAAGCATCAGTCTGGGATGGTGTAGCTGGTAGAGGAGTTGCTCCTATTGCTCAGTCATTAGAGTATTAGTGCTGTCTGTGTGTTCAGTGGTCCTTATGATTGTAATGTCTGGTGTGAACATAGATTATTTAGAACAGTGGCTCTCAACCAGTGGTTAGAGGAGTAGTTTTTAGGAGGCTGGCAAAAATAAACCAGAGAGGAGGGCCAACATTACTCACTGGGGTCCCTGGCAAAAAACTGAAGCCAAAGCCCAAGCAACTGTACTTTTTCTGGGCCCCCTGTGAAATCAGGCCCTAGAGAATTGCCATTCTCGCTACTCCATAACACCTTGCTTTTCATGTGCCGGATACGTAGAAAAAACAGTTGTTGTGAACCATGGAGTTTTTATAGCATGTTGGAGGTGGGGGGGAAGCGGGAGAGACCTGAGAGGAAAAAGGGTTGAGAATAATACCTCATTTAGAAAACAGATTGGACATTTGAATGGTCCAAAAATTATTTGTCAAATATTTTAAAGCACTATTTTATTAGAAGAGTAACAGTGTTCATGAAGAAGAGTAAGACCTTATGGTCTGCAGTAGAGTTACCCTTATTACCAGAAACAAGTTATTTAACTGAGTTATTTTAACTCAGAAAAATGCTAAATTAGTAAATGAAATTCTACAAAATGAAAGAATGGAACCATGATTAAATCAAATAGGTAGGGCATTCTTGCTGGAATATTTGAAAATATTTGACCAAGGTCAAATAATAGGTGGTCAGCTGACATTATTTTACTGATTGATAGACCAGTTGGCCAAACCTAGACAAGATATTTCATTGCAGGAGAAGTGATGAATTTCCTGAACTTCATAGCTTCCTGTGTATGACTGTACAGCACTTGCAAAATAGGGCCCCCTTGTGCATATGCATTGAGACACTCTTTAAATTACATGACATTTTCCCCCAAAGGAACCATGCTCAGTGCACAATAGAGCATTGAAGTATATTGACCACTTGGGATGGCATAACTACAGGGGAAGCTAAATTTACACAGAATTGGAGTGATGGCTATTGTTCTAGCAACACTTCTCCACATTTGGAGAAGCAAAGGTATTTCTGTGAAGTGTAAAATGAAATTGTTGCAGTCTCTTCTTGTCAGCATCTTGCTTTATGCATGTTAGACATAGGCCGTGTCCAGACTCGGGGTTTTTCGGGAAAAGTAGCCTTTTCCCGAAAAAATTTCCCCTGCGTCCAGACTCAAGCCGCGTTCTTTCGAAATTATTTCGAAAGAACGCGGCTTTTCTTTCGATGGCGGTAAACCTCATTTCACGAGGAAGAACGCCTTCTTTCGAAAGTTCCTCTTTTGAAAGAAGGCGTTCTTCAATGTAAAGAGGCCGTCTTCAAAAGAGAGCATCCAGACTCGCTGGGTGCTCTCTTTCGAAAAAGCGGATTTCTCTTTCGAAAGATCCGCCTGCAGTCTAGACGCGATCTTTCGAAAGAGGCTCTTTCGAAAGATGCTTTCAAAAGAGGCTCTTTCGAAAGAAGCCTGCAGTCTAGACATAGCCATAGATACTACAGAAACAAGACATTGAAGCTGTCTGCCTTCGAAGTGAAATGCTACAGGTTATTGCGTTAGCTATACATTACCTTGTTGGTGGTATGCAATCACCCAAATTTGCAGCATAACTATAGTGACACTTGATAACAATAAGATGGTCAAAGAAAACTTGAGTTTGCTAGACATATTGATTGGGTGAGTGGAGGAAGACTGAGAGCAAGTTTTGCAGGGATTGGCTCTGAATGCCAAGTTCATGGGGAACCAGTGGCAGCAAGTGTGATAAACGATATGGCTGACTCAGTGGTCTGCAGACTGATGTGTTTCACAAGGGTGTATGAGGACATCTGGAGGAAGATTGCTGGCCCATGGATTTGTGTGTCTTACTGTTCATTGTAATGTGACTTTATGGTGCTTTGCTATGGGAATAATAATAATATGGAGATTGCTATGGTTAACATTTCATCTGTGTTTAGCTTTCATCTGTTCAAATTTATAAAGAGCCACTGACGTCTGAGATAACTTACTAGGAACATCTCCATGGAAACAGGATCCTTGTTTCTTGAGATTTTGCATCCACTCCCTCTGTTTGTTCTTCACCTGGAGTCAAATCCTGATTGTTACATCACAGTTGTCTCCACAGCATCCATATTATGTGAAATTACAAACAAAGGATTTGTACTCCATAACAGAATAACTAGCAAAAGGTGAACTTTTAAGGAACAAAAATCCTCTTTGCTTGCAGGAGAGTGAGAGCGAGAGAGAGAATGAATACTAGGAGATACAAGCATAACTGTGTGTTACTATCTAAAATTATCTCTTGGAGTTGATTTTTAAAGTTTACTTGTCTAGGAAATGGGAATGTTTGACCTTAGGTCTCCAGCTCAAATCCAGGTCAGGTTGGTAGTAAGCAGAAGTTTTTGCCATTTTATGAATAGTCAGTGGCTGTTGTGAAATGATATGATGATGTATATCCCATTCCCAGTGCAAATATAAGCATCCCTGACCTTTCAGACTAATTACCAGAGTTAGCATTAATTGATTCCAATGTTGGTATTTATGGGGGGGAAACAAAGATTGAATAATATTGAGCTTTTTTTCACCCTCATGTGTAGTCCGGGACATTGACAGGAAACTGTGTGTGGAAGCTTATACTACCACTACATGTATCCATACCAGGAGTGGGCAATAATTTTTGAAGGGGGGGCCACTTCACAAATTTTGGAAGAGGCCGCGGACTGACCCCTAAAGGGGCAGGGCCTTGGGTGGAAGGGGAGGGGTTGAGAGCTACCCTACTGGGAGCTTTGCTTGGCCTGGAGTCCCTCTCCTCCCCCCGCTTCCGGCAATGGAAGAAGCCTGGAGCAGATGGGGAGGATGCTTGGGGCTAAGCTCCTCCCAGAATTGTCTGGGGTGGAGGCTTAGAATTCACATAACACAGCTCGCAGCCACCTGGCAGACACAAGCCCTTTGAACAGAAGCAATTGAAAGAGCTCGTGTCTCCTGGGCAGCTCCCAGGCAACAGGCCAGTGGGACCGAGAGCTGCGAGCCCTTTCAGTTGCTTCTGTTTAAAGGGCTTGCACCTGCCATGGTGTTGTCAGGCAAAGCAGCCACCCAACAGGCACAAGCCCTTTTAATAGAAGCAGTTGAAAGGGCTCCCGCGTCTCCAGCTCCCTAGCAACGCACTAGAGGTGCCGGGAACTGTGAGCCCTTTAAACTGTTTCTATTTAAAGGGCTCTCGTGTTCCCTGTGACTGTCGGGCAACATGTTGCCCAACAGGTGTGGGGAAGGCACGAGCCCTTTAAATTGAAGAAGTTAAAAGGGCTCATAGCTTCAGTGCCACTAGCGTGTTGCTAGGGAGCCAAAGACACAAGCACTTTCAACTGCTTCTATTTAAAGGTCTCTCGCGCCTTCCCTGGGGCTGCTAGGCAAGGTGCAGGCGTGACACGAGCCCTTTAAATAGAAGCAGTTAAAAAGGCTCGCATGTCTCTGGCTCCCAGGCAACGGGCTAGGGGGCAAGGCCTGGAACTGCCTTGGGGGCTGGATCAAAGCCCAAGGCGGGCCACATCCAGCCTGCTGAGAAACTTTTGCCCACCCCTGGTCCATACCATTGGGGGATACATCGAGGATTTCATCTGTCACCAGTGCTGAATTCACTAAAAGGAGAAAATAATCTCTCTTAATATTTTCAGGTTTGTTCTGATAGTTATTGTATTGTAATTCATGGTAGAGTCTCATTAGGGATTTTGCACATCTTTATAAAGAGACAGCAGTCTTTGCTACGCTGCATTTGAAATTGTTACCCTTAGTGTAGGGTTAAGGATGTTAACTAACGAGTAATTTGCTAGTTGATGGAATTTCCATCAACTAGTCAATAGGCACTTCCACATTCCTCCTTTGAAATGTACAGAGCCCCCACTGGCATTTGAAATGTACAAGAGCCACGGCATTTCAAAGTGGCAGCACCACACTTTGAAAAACCCTCTCTTTCTCCCCTCCCTCTCTCCGC